CTTTCCAGCTGAGTCGATCAGCAGAAGCTGTGCGACCAGTTCTACCAAAAAAAGAACTGCTACACCTCAAACACCTTGCTGTAATACTTCAGCTGCCAGTTCCAAAGGCACTCCAAGGTCCAGCAAAAGGGCCTTGCTTGGGCCAACAAAGGTATCAGAACATAGAGAATGGAGGGATTTCTCATCCTGGCTTGGTAAAAATTCTGTCTCTCTCCGGAGATCCAGAAGAGCAGCAGCACTGAAGAGCCCTTATTCATCTCCTGCTCCTTCCAGCAGAAAGATGTAAGTCACATTATTTTGTAAACTTTTTTTTTTTAAATTTAATTTTTTTATAAAATTTATTACTCTGATTAGAGTATCTGGCAAAGTGAAAGGCAAGGTATTAAGTTTTCTGTCCTATTCCCCTGAAGGTGTGTGCTGCTTGAATAATTAAGAAAGTAGGTTCCAGCTCCCTGTATAGATGGGGATTGAGCTATGTGTAAAGCTGAAACATAAAAAGTAATTTTTTCTTAGAGACATACTTGAGTTCTTTGCTGGTGCCTTTTGGGTAAAGGAAAATGCTCTGTATCTCACTCTGATTTAATTTGTAACTTTTCTAAAGCTGCTATTTGTATTCCAAAGATACCAGGAATAGCTTTGTTTTTGCTGAGTTCTTTATAGAATGTAGAGAAATTCCTATCTCAAAGAGCAAACACAAATTAGATCAAGGGTTGTGAGTCAGGGAAATACTTAATAATGTGCACACAGGTTTTTCTTTTGGTCGAAGCCACAAGAAAAGTTAAAGCTAGGAGTTGAATCCAAGCCTTGTGAATCTGAATTTTGTGTCTGAGTTGGAAGATAGCTGTTTGGGGGATAAAGGAAGACATGAAGCTGTTGGCCAATGTAATTAAGAGCATAATTTCCACCACTGTAAACTTCTCTGGGTAAAGTGTAGTGGTACTGCAGGGATGGAGGCTTGAGTACTGTCACCTAGTTAGCTTGTCCTGTTTGATCTGTAGCAATGACCATTCTATTTGCAGAGAGTTTGACTGCGAGTTGGAACTGGTCTCTTCAGGGATTTGCCAATTGAAGCGTATCTCCCAAGCATTTGATGATGCCATTGTGAAAGAGGAGAGGTAAATACTGTGAAGTACTTGTCAGCTTTACCTACCACCTGAACACAGCCAAGTGCAGGCTAAGTAGTCCCTGTAACTCAAGATTAGGAATAGTTGCAGAACTTTTTCAGGTGTAATGTAGTATATCCATCTTTTCTTAAAGATACCTGGGAAGATTAAATCTGCAGTTGGATTTGCAGCTAATAAAACCTTGTCTTCAGTTTCCTTGTTGTGGAAGTCAGATTTTTATCAGAAGGAGACTACCTTTGACCTTGCGTGAGAACAGTACTTCCCTGACTCTTGTCTAAAAGAGGTGCCAATCCAGGCTGGGGGAGGAGGTGGGAAAATTCCAGTGTACTGGCACAGTCACTGATGTCTGCATATCTATTTAAAAAATCCTTTCATTAGGTAGCATTATGCTAACAAGCAGTCCATGGGCACCCAGATGAAAAAGCCTCTTACAAAACACCTTGGTTAATCCACAAGGTGGTAGGATGCTGTATTTGTGAAGGTTATGTCATTCTGAATTAGACAAATTAAGAAAATAAAAATTAAGGGTCAGAAATCTAGTCACAGGGCGATTCCCTAAACTTCTTCCTCTCTTAGAGCATGTCAAGTATTCAACAACTAAATGTCACGCACCTCAAATTCTCTAGAGAGAGTTTAGCATCAAGTACTTTACCTACAAAGAGGTAATGGCTTAACATCCCAGATAATTGCAAAGATTTGTACCAATGGGACCGTGTCTAGATAACTATAGGTTAAAACTTGTATCAAGTTAATTTTATCATATCCACTGAAAGTTCACTAAATCTTACTCCTAATATTCTCCCATCTGCTAGTGATATGACAGTTTCTCTCATTCGTAACTGAAGATAGTAGCAACCAGGTAAAGTAGTTGTTCACTTACCTCGGCTATGCCTGCATGCATCTGTGGGGAGAAAACCTGCTGTTTATGGAGAGAAAGGCTTATTATCTCATGCTGCTTTAAGGCAGTATTATGTAGAACCACATGGTTCTTCCTTCATATTCACTGTGGCCATCTCTGCTACAGCAGATCATTGTGCAGTTGTAAAACTTCACCTCTAAATTGTGGATTAGTGAGTCCTTATGGGTTCTCAATGAACCTCCTATGCAAACATCAGTTTTTCTCACTCCAGACCAAAAAATGACTGGTACTAATCTTTTTGTCACTCAGTTCTCACTGGTTACTAATGATGACAAAGCATGAGAGAACCAACCATTATCCTGAGCTATCTGATTTTACAGCCTTTCTTTTCCATCCCTCAAATTTTCATAGCAGTTGAGTCTATGCTATCACAATTAACACCAGCTCATAACTTATACCCAAGTGGATGTGACATAAATATCTTCATCCGTTATGTTGGAGGTGTTCTTTTTGTTAGAGAGAAAGGTACATCCTAAATACTATGTCCTATTTTAGCAACGAAAATAGGTGCAAGACACTTTGTTGTAACTTTTCAAGTAAAATGAGAGCAGTTTCAAATGCTGGACTGATGGTTTCAGCAGTGATCTGTACTGCTTCCACAATTTGGTCCAGTACCCCTGCATGTGTAGATGCATACAATGTGCTGTTACTGCCTAGTTGCCTACTGGAATAATTGTGAAATTAACTGTTTTGGAGGTGCCTTTAGTCTTGCATGAGACTTTCTGTTCTGGTATCCAATTGCCATAAGCTTTAATGCTAGCGCTCCCTTTTCATTTTTTTCATGATGAAGCAAACCTTGATCTCAAATGATTGTTTCCAACTCAAAGTATTGTTCTAGTGTTTTGCATTTTAATGAATTAGATTATATCACAAGAAATGCTCCTGTTGCTAGTTAAAATACTGCAGTACTTAATTTGTGTACTTGTGCTTTATTTTCACTGAAGATAACAAAGTATGTTATTGCTAGTGTCAAGAACAGTTACACAGTGAAAGTGTACCAGACCTTTTCCTTTTTCCCATCTGTTTTCCAGCAATTTGTGTGACAACCAGTTGATTAACTCTACTGACTTCATGCTGCTAATGGTAGTCTTGTTGTTCTTCTGCAGGCAACAAGCAATATCAAACTACTACTATCTAATGGCACAAAACTCACAGTCTGTACATCAGTCCCTGAAACTGTCTCAAGCTATCAGAAGACAAGCAAAGAAATGCCATCAAGCACTTGGTACCTAGACAGAGATGGTTGTAACTATTTTTTCATATGTCCAAGTTTTTGAGCACATATATAAGGGAGAGGCCTGAATAGCACCTGAAAGGCTGCACTCTATACACTTAAATGAGCCGTTACACTTTTTTTTTTTTTAATGAAACAGCTCAGGACTTCCCTTGCTTTCTCTTTTAAAGTAAAGAGAGAATCAAAATAGTACCAACCACAGTATATTATCCCTGCTGAGTTGAGGGGTCCGTCTTGAAAGTTACTCTCATGAGGCAGTAACTTAGAAACTGATGCTGAACTGGCCAGTAAGAATGGCCAAAGCAAGGGCTAATGAGACTTAAGAAAGGTAATCCTAGCTAAGAGTAGTGCTTAAATTGGTATCCAGCAGTGACGAGATTTAGCACAAATACTTTCCACATGAAAAAGACTGGTCTTTTATTTTGAAAGCCTAACTTCTTGGGTTTGGTTTTTTTTGTTACTAGAAAACTGAAGTTATTCATCAGTTAGCTGAAAGTTACTAAAACAGTTATTAAAGTTACTAAAACAGTTACGTCTTTGAGTTCTAAGCAAAACTGCCATTCCAAAGCAACAGGATTCTGTGCAGTCACTCATGCCACAAGAACAGAGCCATTTTAGGACACTTACTTCATGGCCTTAAAGGTTAGCCTAACTAATCCTATTTTAGGTAGTTTGGCTCCAGACAAATGAGAGCAACTTTGTCATGTCTTACTGATGCTTTAGATAGCATCTTGGCAGTTGAGTTAAACATTGCTTTTGTGCATCTGTCTTTTAGTCATACATGGAAATTTGTTACTACAATTAATGTAACCTCTTGCAACTACTGTTATTAGCTAATATCACAGTGGAAGTAGTTTGATTATGTATCCTTAGCATTTGATACCTGTATTTTGCTTCTAATTTAAAAAAATTAACATTCATTTGACAAGCCTTTTTTGGTAGGTCATTCAGTAAAATAAAGTTTAGCCTTTCATATGAAAGCAAAGATTTGTCAAGTTCTTCGAGTTCAACAGCGGGGTTGTTTTCCATGGTAAGCTTTGTGCAGGCTTCCCCAATTATGTTCACTCTAAAATGAACTTTCAAACAAAAGACTGATTTGGGAAACTTTGCTCTACTTGATAATTTCTAAAATGTGCATGTGACCTAGTAGTTCCAGTGTTACTAAAATTTTAATGGTATCAGGTAAAAATATGAAAAGTATTCAATTATGATTTATATGTAAGTATTGATTTTTAAACTTGCTTACAATTTTTCTTTTATTTCTTGTCAAATGAACCCATTTTAAAACATTGAAACAGTTAATGAGGCCTGGAAATATGAAAGCAACCCTTCCAGCCTGAAGACTTCTTTCAGAAGACTGAGAATTTTAGCTTGTGTTATTTCTTGATGTAGTGTTTCTGTGTGTTTTGTGGGTTTTCAAATAACTTTTCTATATGGAAGTATAGAAAAGTATAGTTTCTCCAAGTTGTTCTTTGTATGTCCTGAAACTACTTCTATAAAGCTTTCACAAAGATGTTGACTCATTAGTGAAATGCCTTCTTCTATGACTTTTGAAAAGGAAGGAGCGTTGGAGGTTTTTGAAAAGTTGACCTCCAATCTAAGTACTATTTCAGACAAATCAAACAGCCTATATTTATAATGTTTCCACCAGCTACTCAGACATGTACAATCATGATCCAATATTTATCAAATTACTGGTAAGAAAAATCAGTGACACTGTTTGTTTAAAGGCAAGGAAGGTTTTATTTAAGTGGCTAATCTGTTTCAAGATTTTAAAAATCAGCTCACATCAAAATCTATAGCAGTTGTAGAAATCTTACTCCTTATTTCATATTAAGAAATTCATTATTGTACATTTTTGAATCTTTACAAGGCAGCCATAAGAAATATAAACATTTGTCACCAGACAGAACCTTCTCACTGACAATATTTAAAATTATGCACTTAATAAAACTATAGACTGAAAGAACACCTACAATTTCAAGTTTCCTTGTGTGAATTCAATTGTAAGGGAACTGCCCCTTTTCACCCCCACAAATAGAAAAACAATTATGCATAAGACTTGGGGTTCTGTGAGAGGACTGCCATTCTGGGCTGTAGACCAGTCATCCAGGAATAACACTACTTTTCAAATTTGCTATCTGTAAATCATGTTTCAATGTTGCAATCTCTAGTATACCATCTCCCACCATGTCACAGTAAACCCGCCTTTTTCTTTTCCCCCTCCTATGTTCTATACATTCATACAAATGACAAATGAACTGTGAAATTTATCTTCCCCAACCCCCCAAAATTCAATTCAGTTTCAAGGATAGCTTACTGAGATAGCTTATAATACATGTAGTGGGTAAACTGTAATAATCCCTGTCTGGGCTTGACCTAAAGTGAGTGAAAGAGACAACACATGACTTCAATTCCAGTGTCCATGCACAGGATTCTAGCTGTTCCAGGCTTTATTTCTGAGAAACAGGTATTTTCATCCAGAAAAATGTGTTATTAATTTCTTTTTTTTTTTGGGGGGGGGTTCTGAATTTAGGCTCAGGTAACGTATAGTTACCTTGTGTGACTAAACATAATGGAAGTCTTAATTACCTTGACAAAATGAAATTTCTGCTTAAGCTTTGAACACAAAACCATGAGGAACCACTGCTCTTAGAGAAGCTGAGAGGTAGGCTGGAAGGTTTTGTGTGTATAGGACTTCTATCCTGTACCAGCTCCAGATGAGGATGAAAGTGCCACTTTCTCCCCTACGTGCTTGACATGAAGAATTCAATGCAGAGATTCTGAGTTCAGATGCCACACGTCAATCTCTAATCAGAAAAATCATGAAATTGTGGTGCATAATTCTCATCTCTCCATTATCAAGCCAATGAGTTTACTAAAAAGATACCCATGCTCCAATCATCTAGTCCTATGACGATGTACTCACCTTTCTGCAGCCTGGATGGCAAGAGGGAAAAAAAAACTGAGGAAAATCCTACTTGTTCAGTAACAACTGTTGGACCTACAAATTTTAAAACGTAAAATACCTACTGGTTTCAGGTATTGTTTTAAATGCTTATTAAAAAAGCTTTTAGAAAATTTAAAACAGAAATGGTATAGAAAAAAGGGAAAAAAATAAATTTTCCCCTTTCTAAATTTATTCCATGAAGAACATGATGATAATATATACTTAAGTATTGAGGATTTGTTAAATACACGCATTAGTAGTGTCCTGGCTAAAGAAAGACCGCAATGTATAAACAGGACAACTTATCCACTAGTAATGGCAAACAAAGGGTATTTTGCAGAATACTGGGGCTTCTGAAAAAATGTCATTGTCCTGGATAGACCCAGGTGTGTATTTTTTTTTTTCCCTCTAGTTTACTGTTGTTCCACTTCTACATAACCAGTGAAAGTTTTAGCTGTTTGGAAGTGACTTCCCTAGATATAGAGGGAAAAGTGAAGTAATCTGTCTACATTAAGACTAGTTTAATGTAAACAAATAAAAAGGACAGCTCTCATGAACCCCAATGAATAAGAATTACCACTACTTTGTCATTTTTACACCTAACAGAATTTTATGCTGAATAGATACAAACCATGCCACAAAACTAAACAGGAATACTTTGGTCAAGCAAAAATCTATACCAAGAGCACCAGTGTATGCAAACAAAAATGTTACTCAAAATAAGCAGATTTGGCTTAATATCACTATTCAATTCTGCAATCTATACAATGATGTTCCAAACCTACCTAGCTAGACAACAAAATTGAACAGACAGCCACTGTTGCTGTGTTTGAGTTGGTTTTGTTCTTTTTTTTTTAATGTGTATTGGTTACAAATTTGCTGTGAAAGCAGAACCAAAACTTAAGTGTCTTCCAGTAGTTATACACACATACACACAGACAAAACCAAAGCACCACAGTTGTGAACGTGTGTTTTCACAATATCTCAAATAACTCTACCACTGCTATTAATCACAGCCATTTTTTACAGTAATTTAAAATTGATCCATATCAACAGGTCAAAGAAGTAAATGCTTCCAACTGTGGCATACTTGTACTGTACCCTTAGCACCCACTGAACTAAAATTTTGTGGTTTACAATTTCATTTATGCTTCCTCCATTCAGCAGGTTAAAAGAATGTGCTTTTCTGTTACAACTGATGGTGCTAATGTAACAACTCATGAGTCTAATGTATGTTCTGTGGGCACACCCACCTGACTTCTCTGTCCCTTTCCCTTCAGTGTATGCTATAACACTTTCATAGTCCATATAGTTTAAGTGCTGACTGCACAGAAACTGCAGCAATGAGGACTTGCAATCAAGAATAAGATGACTGTAGGATCAAACTTACCATCAGCGAATGGCTTCTTAGGGGACTGATCTTCCATGAAAACACAAGTAGAACTGAAATCCTATTGCAAGCTGAATGCCTGTAAATGACTGGATGCAGTTTCATGTGGACGAAGTACGTAACTAAAAAGCCTGTGTCACTATTTTGCCAAGTGCACTGCTGGAGTGTGGGATCACAAGATAAACCATTTAGCCATGAGTAATCAGCAGTGCTGGAATTATGCAAATACCACATAAGCTCTCATACACTGTATGAAAACAAAGTTAGGGAGCATATTTTCAGCTTGATTTTAATACCATGTGTAGAAACCTTTGAAATTGTTACCACACTAAATTGTACACATGCACGCACACTTGTTTTACTGCTATTAAGCTCCTAATATTCTTCAGGGAAGCCAGCACAGTAACTACTGTAAAGGTGACCCAGCTATTAACAGAAATACATAAAATCGGAGTCTTCATCACATGGAACCCTGTAAAATGACATTATGTCTCCAAGAGTAAAAGACAGCCCTTTATAACCTAGGAGATTTTTCTAACCTTGTACTCAGACACTATTTCCTTCAATTCAGTCACACAGAATTACACACAGATCACTCTTTTGAAAGGAAGTAGACCTTTCTACTACAGCAACCAAAACAAAAAAAATAGGTTTTCAAGTCTCTTGGGTGATAGAGGTAGATGGCTAAAACAACAGTAGCTTTGTACAGGAATAGCGATTATAGTCAGGAGACATGCTAAACAACATCCAATGATTAAAAAGAACTTTTTGATCAGTCAATATTTTAGACCCCTCATAAAACTTAAAATATTCCTAATAAGTTCCTCCCTCACAAGCCTTGGATCCCCATGCCTATTTAAAACTAACAAGCAGGAGTGTGCTAACAGTAAATTCACTAGAAGGAGATGGATGCTGGTGCACCCATGCAATTTCATCATAGTGCAAAGCAGAGAAGAAATGGACTATGTGACTAGAATGAATACATGCAGTGGGCTGAGACAGAACATGGAATAATTCCTCCAACTTCATGGGTTCAAAACTATGACACTACTGGGAAAGCATTTGTAAATGTTAAGAGTGTTTCAATGTAGTTTGCAAGCTATCTTTCATTTAGCTTTTGTAGCAACAGAGCACAAAACCCTAGCCCCTTGTAATGTATTTACCTGCTCCCAAAGAATGTTTGCTACCAAACGTTTTACATCTTCCCTTAATCTTCAACAGAGATTACTCCTTCCCTTAAAGGAAGCATTAGGAAAAAAAAAACCAAAACAACCAGCTACTGATATACCAGAGATATTTCAGGAAGTTTGAAATAGGTAACTGACAATCATGCCAAGTAATTTCTGAAAATATAAATCAAACATCTCCATTTATAAGCTATATTGCTGCATCCTAAGGCACTCCTTAAGAGCTACACTCCTATGCCCTTCCAAAAGCCCACTGAAACTTCGTGGTTAACAGAAAGTACAGACTTTCTTTACTTCTGCACTAACTTAGTTTTCCATTGTATTTCTTGTTTTACATGTTAACTTTCAAAATCATTAACCAACTTGGTGAGACAAGTCTAGCAAAACCTGAAAGGAGGATGGAGAGGCATAACACCCTCTTCACCCCAATTCCCTGAAATAAAAAACAAACAACAAACCTGAAAAAGGAATGTTCTTTTGACTTCAAGCTTTCTCAGTGTCAATATTATGTTTTTAACTCTAAAAAACAGGGGTTTTATATGCACTTGTAACATCATTGCAGATTTTAAAACATGCGTCAGTTCAGTCTTTAAATTCTCTTGATGAATTTCCATGGACAATCTGCAAACTGCTACTATGTTAAAGTAACTATAATGCTCTAGAAATATTACTACTTAGGGAAAATGTCACACATTTTACTTCTAGTAAGTGCATTGAGAGATCAGTGAGAAATTTAAATCAGTAGAGAAATGTCTATGTGGCACCTGTTTTTTCGCATATCCACTCTTTGAAGCTCAAATGCTGTAATTCTGAATGCTACAGATTGTCAATGCAGCAGTTGCTGTGAAGTATGAGAAGGTAAACAATTTATCAATTTACTTAATTACTTTTTTCTTCCCCTCCAGTGTAAATATTCTAGTTTGAATAATTAAAAAAGCAATTGCTCTGAAGTTTGCAGATCCCTTAGTGAAATTGTTCCTTTTAGCTTGCCCTCTTAGGATCTGACTCTCAGACTGAGATCATCACAGTCATCTTCTTTGGAGTAGTCCACACGTTTTTGCAGTCATCAAGTTCCACAAACAATGTGATCTTTGTACAGTTGCACACTACTTTGGTTACAACAACATTAACTGTGTTCAACCCGTGACTGACACATTTATTTTTAACATGAAGTTTTTATGTTTGGTTCACAAGTTCTCATTTATTTGTCCAGCGCCTCACACAAACATGAGTGCCCATGTTGGAGTTTGTTGACCAACACTAGGCTGAAAGGAAACCTTGAATTTAAAGGCACCCAGAAAGCATCTTCTTGTAGAAGTCCTAACCACCTGCTATTGTAGCTCCCACTGCTGCTTCCCTTCATCACTTTTATTGAAAAGTGAAGTGGAAACAGACATGACTACTTAATGTTTAAAGTGTAAACCTCCTCTGTAACTTACAGGACCCACCCTTGATGCTGTTTTGGGTGCAGCTAATTAGCTGATACCACAATCCTTCTGAGCAAAATCAGTATCTTTTCCTCTTATTGCACATATTATATCTGTTCCCAAAAATAACCTGTTGCTATGGATAAACTTGTGGTAGTTTTAGATTGTTTTAAACTTCCCCAATAAACATGATAAGAGGAAGAGACTGGAAGTGCCCTAGTTGGTGTAAGAAGGCAGATTTCAGAACAGGGAAGACTCCAAGGTACAAATTCCTGTCCACTTCTCTTAATTTGGAGCTGCCTAAATACTATCTTTCAGGCATGCTTACAAGTTTTATGGGGTGCATCCAAGATCAACATTCCCAGTCCTCCTTAGGGAACAGATTCGAATTTGTGAACTCCACCTCGAACCCAAGCAATGGAAGGCAAATGCCTGTCATGGTCTTTGTCTGATTCAGGCTGGCTCTGAGCACGCTCTGGCTTGGGGTTTAAAGAAGGCGGGTCAGGTTGCTGTACAGACATAGTCCTGCGGAGGTGGTTTCTCTTGCGCAAAAACTCAGGTTGCGAGTGGAGGCCAAAGCTGCCTTTTCTCAAGATCATCCGAGAGTTGTTCTTTTTGGGTCGTGAATGGAGACTGAACTCCAGCGAGGCCAAGTGGGCTGCATAACCTTCACTGAGGAACTGAAATAGGAAGAAAAGAAGGGAGTGACAAATTACTGCTGCCTTGACCTATGAGTGCTATTAGGTATTAAGTTTTCATCACTGGCATCCCAGTTAGATACCTACAAAATACTAATACTCCTCTCCCCTCAAGTTTTTTTTTCAAGTGACCCATTTCATTCTGTCATTCAGAAATATGCAATGCATGCAGTTGTAGATACAGCTTGCAACCACACTTGATTCTCTTTACTATTCACCCTTCCAGAAAATGTCTCATTTGTAACCCCAACTACCTTTCTTTGAAATACTGTTGCTGCTTTTTGTATTTGTGAGTTTGCACATGCATTCACGTGCATGCATTGCCTTGTCCTTCCTAGGACTTCCTGACTGAATAGCAAGAATTACTTACTTGGCACTGTGCCTGGTATTTCTTTGTGGATCGTCCAACTATGTAGATCTGGGATGGCGACAGAGCCAAGACACTGTACACAGAAATATCCTTCATGGAACCGTATGCGGCACAGATTTTGATGTGGCACTGAAACAAACATTACTTCCAAAGTGAACGCACTATTGAACACCATGCAACTACAAGGTTGGCGCTTGATTTGCAGTAAAGCAGCATATGAGTTCCCTGTTAACAATTTCAATCTGTAAACCACAGAAAGCTAAATCGATCTGCCTGCATGTGAGCAAGAACTACAGGTATGCACACAGGAAAGAACAAGCAGTTAATTTACTGATTTGTCATGATTGGAGGTCCCTTTGGATGTTTTATCAGCTTTCCCTGCTCTTTAAAAAGTGAGAAAAGAAGTGAGGAATGGCAAAAAGGCTTTGTGATGCTCAATTAGACCTACTGTTCAGATAGAATGGAGAACTCTACTGAATTACATTCCCTGAAAATATGTTTTAAGACTATAAATAGGTTTCTAGTACCTCTTGCATGAGATTCCGGAGAAAAATGGTCTTTTGTCGCAGTGGGTCATGAACGAGTCCATCTGAGAAGAAGATCATCCCTTGTGGGAAATTGTGTTGGGACAACCACGAAACTACACGCTGTTTCTGCATATCTGGGCGGCCAGTGATGTAGATAATCAGATATCCCAGGTCCTGCCAATGCCTGTCAGAAGAAGCAGTTAAATTATATAAGTGCAGAAAGAGAAACAATACTCACAGGTCAGGTCAGCATCTTTTCTCAGACCAGTTAGAAGTTAGATGATATCCTTCAACAAGTGAAAAGCAGCATGCCTAAGTATCTGCTAAAATCAAGAAACTAAGTAATAATGTCTACAATTCGGGGGAGAAGGAGAAAAGCATGAGACATTCTTATACAAAATATCATCTAAAATATGAGAGCCATTAAAAAATACACTTAGAATAAACCTTGAAACACATCAGGTACTGCTAATTTTGAAATCTTTAATGAGATTTCCTGCCATGTTAGCTATAAGGAATGGAAACCCTTGAAAACTGCCATTTCTACATTCTCATGCAAGTTCCAAAATGAGAACTGCCTTTTCCCATCCAGTGCAACATTAACAGACTTGCAAGAATGAATTAAAAGGCCTTTTAATTTTTGTTGCAAAAAACATTATTGCATTCCTGACACCTGATATTTTTTAAGTACAAATATGTCCTTATTTGAAATTAGTGAAACACAAAATACACATGGAATCATTATTAATTCACTGGACACACTTCAAGATCGTATTCCCAATAAGCAACTTTTTATCTCTAGGCAATTTAAACTACAAATTTCAATGTAATCCACAGCATTCTAATATTACTCTGAAATTAAGGCAGATGTGCTGTGCAAGAAAATATAGAAATGTATCTGCAGAGAATCTTGGCCCTTAGAAAACTGCTGTCTGTTTAGTATAACAACCCTTTTCCTTCCTACTGTGTTCAAGCAGAAAGCCAGAGATTTGAAGTGTTCAAACCTTATTTACCTGACAACATCAACAGCCCCCGCTCGGACTTTGGGGTCACTTCCCATAATTGAAACACTTGCTGCAAAGGAACCATCAATGCTGAACACAACACATTCCATTCCGCGGGGCAGTACAGTCAGGTAACTTGCTGCACTGCTCTGGTCCCCTCTGCAGAGTCAATGCAATAAATTAATTTAAAAAGCAAAATGTCAGAAAGTATTTTCTGCATGTTTCAGTTAAGATTTGAAATTAGATCTTTCTAGACCTACAGCTTTGATCTCACTGTCAAATATGGCTTCTGATTTCAGTCTTACGTGGGACAATCAAAACTTGTACTTTTAGGAAATAGTTTACCAAAGTGAAATTTGGAAGCTGATCTTAATAAGAAATCACATGCATACAAATAACCAAAAGAATTAGCAAAAAAACCTGCAAACCAGCTTGAAGTACTCTAACTACTACTCAAACTTTCTCCATAAGCTTAACAGTTGGTAATACAGACATTAGCCACCCTCTATTCTTGCAAATATTCCCCCTTGCAATGGGAATGACAGCTGGGAGAAGTAAAAAACAAAAAAAACAAAGGCAACAAACAACCAAAACCAACCAAACAACCAAAAACCAATGCAGTCATACATCACTCATGTCATGGAAGGACATGTGAAAACCATTTCCTCATGATGTGTTTTCCCCAGGACAACTGGATGTTAAAAAATGGATAAATTACAAGGAAATCCAAAACTCTTCTCATCCCACCACCTCATGTTCCCTAAAACCTGTAATCTAAAGACCACATTCATGTCTGGTGATGAAGATTTCTACAATATGTGCTCACAGCCTAAGGAACAAAGACAGAACAATTTATTTTGTTCCTCTTTGAAAATTACTTCTGCACTCTAAAGCTTCATTTTTTAATATATTTTTTTTAATTGATTGCCTTTTTTATTTAACTGAGGTAAAACATTTTCTCCTTCTCAAGTTGCACAACATAGGATTGTAAGCTGACTTTGGACTTTGTTAACTGGTGGATAACAACATGTTCTATTTCAGCTAAATTCTCCCAAGCAGGATTCAAATGTAGTTTTTACTCAGTTTTGAAGTTCCTGATCGCCACAACCCATCACAGCTTTAGTTCCAGCTTGGAGTTATTACCTGACCACCATTTTGATGGGATACACACCAACTCTCAGTCTCTTCTGTTCAGGTATATTGTAGGATATTCGTCCACTGCTGTTGGATATCTCTGTGTCAAAATACACCCACCTACCCGAAGATGGCTCAGTCATTATGAAGATATCCACCTGCAAAACCAATGAAACAGTAATCTAGTGTGATAGTCAACAAAACACCCACTGTGTGCAAGGCCTGCCAGGTATTTCCAACCATGGCTGGTAGTAAAAGCTTACAAGGAAGTTTGAAGGAACTTCATGACTCAGTAAGAACTCCGAAGGGAATCCTCTAAATAAGCAAATGCTTTCTAACATACAAGAGATTATTGCCTTCATAATTTATTGTCTTCGTAATTTAAAGCCCTGATCTTAGCAGTGCACATGTCAAATATAGAGGTCAGAAATCTGGGAGGAGCCCTAAACTAGGAAAAAGATAATTTTATCTTGCATGGCTATATTACCTTTTCACACACTAAACCGACAAAAAAAAACCCTGCATATGGTTGTTGAGCCAAAATCTTTCTCAAATCATAGCCTCGCCTACAACCAAAACACTTCAAATTATCAAAAGATTTCATCAATATGGTTTACTTCAACTGAAATATTTAATCAAAATTAACATTAAGGATATTAAATACTGTTCTAGACCTGAAACAGGCTAAGTGAAGCCTCCACGCTTCAGTTTTGCCCTCAGCTCAGCACCATTGCTCTCTTATTAATTTGCACAGAAGCTCCTACAATTTCAGTGAATATGAAAAACATGTGTTCACTTGATGCTTGGCTTTATTAGCTGCATGCCTGGTTTCTGCAGGCAGCTTTAGGAATCACCGTTTTAATTGTGTCACGTTTCTACTAATTTCTAAAACTAATCTTTACTTGCCCATGGTAAGATACAGCAGCCACCTAGCTTCTAGAATGCCTATTCTTTTATTTAGTTGTTTTACCTGGATAGGATAATACATGGTTTTCTTTTAGTGCTTCGTCAACTACTATAAAATTATTTTTCCTTCTTCCTCAGAAAGTTAATTGTCTTCAGTAGGCGGTACAGCTGGATGGCAGGTTCAGAAATCACTGCACAGCACACTCACCACCAACCAAAGGAGATAGCCACAATCAGGTAAGAGAGACGAGAGCTCAGAAAAAAGTCAGCTATCAGGAAAGCCCACTTTATAGCATATTTCTGCTTCAGTAGTAGGCAGCTAGTGACATTTCCCCTCACTGTAAGACTTTCTTTGACACTGTACATGTGTGCTACATTCAATAACTGTTTCAAGTAAAACTAAGAAAATGGATTACTCAGACTTCACCTTTTCACCTGTTAAAGCCACCATGTCCAGAGGTCCATACATAAAGCGCCCAACTAGTACCTGAGGACCATCTTCTGCTGCAATGACATCATTAGCTCGGTGATTAGCAGTCACATTCTGAAATAAGAGCAGAAGATGGGAAGGGTACTGTTCGCTTTTGTCACAAGGCTGCTGTCTCTATTTTGTTATGAACAGTGACAGAGAAACACAGTCCTGGACATTATGTCTGAGGTACATGAAGTACACTGCATTCCCATTTCAGCTTGAGCCTGATTTCCACTAATGGTGGATTCCTGAATAAACTAGAGAGAGTGCACAAGACGACCAAATAAGGGAGAACATTTGAGGGCAAGCCAATTCTTTTTCACTTCAAAGGGTGCCACACAGCCACATCATTATGTGCAGGGCACATCATTTTAACTGACATTACTAATTGATTTAGCACCTGAAGAAAGTAGGAAATATTTTTGCTTGGCCTATGGATTTCTCTAGCATAAAAGAAACCTCTTTGCATAATGGAAACTTAGGGCCTGTCTGTTATTTCAAGAAAGAAATATACTTTCTCCCAATATGAAGTGATAAACCAAGATGAAATTGCCCATATTCCCTAACCATTAATCTGCCTGCCTCTGGATTAAATTATCAGTTTTCAGCTCTTTAGTGATATTCAGTTACATAAACTCCTACTTGGGGAGATCAAACTCTATTTAAATTTCTGCCAAACCCATGTTCCATAGCAGCCATATATATTTGGAGTTAAACTTACCCTCAATTTGACATGCGTCCTTTTGCGTAGCCATTTTTCTCGTGGATTTGATGGACTTAGTGTTTCTGGATCCAGGTTGTCATTTTCCTTGAAATTTACATTTTCATACCTCATCACCTGAAATTATATTAATATTTTAATAAATAGTGTGAGGCCTGGGAAGTCCTGGTACTTGGCAAAGAAAGAGAAATTACACTGCTGCCCCAGTTGAGTGACACTGCAGAGCCAAAAGCACAATGGAAGTTGACAGGTAAAGCCATATGTTCACAAAAACTGCACAGACAAAGAAACTGCTTTCACTCTGTTGGCCAACACTTAGTTTCAAATACTTCTTGAACAGCTTTTTTGTTCACAGCCGAGCTTGCACATTCCTCCAGAGAAAAAAGTGAAAACATTAGGATGGTATCAAGTGATAAGTCACATTGTCTTGATTATGGTCTGCAAAGTCAGTAAAGGAGCATAAAACCACAGAAGCATTTTTTAATGTCCTTTATGTGGCAGACATTAGACTCCTGACTTCATCTGTATTGATTTGCTACGCATCTACTCAGAGAGAATGTTTCTTATCCCTTTTGAGTACTACTACTTCAGTGGGTGATAGGCAGGAACCAGCAGGGACCCACAAGGACCCACTGAAGTCCAAGCTGTGAACATGCAGGACCTCATTATGTCATACACTTTCTTACAACCTAAAAATCATACATTTACCAAGAAACTTTTCTGTCCAACTCAGATTTCAGGACACAACCCACAGAATTCAGAAACTGAGTGTGGGTTATGCCACATTTCAATTGAAGCCCTGTCTCACTGAAATCTGTCAGTTGTACTTGCAATCACAAATAGCTATTTTGAATGAGAAATACACTAGCAAATTTTTCAAGCTGAACAGCTGGTTTTCTGTGCTGAAGTTTTACAATCTTTGTGCCCTTCCTAGAAGAGTGGTCTAGAATCATTTTAAAAGATGTTTTATATGAAGTCCCTTGAGTAAAATCATGCTGCAATCAGAGTTAGTAAAGCAGCTGGCTTGCAACAAATTACAGTAATGTTGAGAAGTAAGCATGTTTTTTAACAAATTGGCATAAATTCTATTCACTAGAGGTAATGTGCAGGCAATATATGCAGCCACAGGGCATTCAGGAGCCATTAGTCTTATTCTTAACCCCCAACAAGGGCAGAAGGTCCAGACTGTACTGGAACTAACCAGTCCTTTATGTAGAACTGTAAACACACATACTGCTTTAAAGACATGTTCTAAATGCTTGAAAGGCTTAATAAATACTAAAAGCTGTAATGCTCTTACAAGGCTAGGAAAGTGTCCTGTAAAGGAGAGACTTGACTTTCTTACAGAAGCAATACTTTCAAACTGCTTTACTATCAGATGTATACTAGTTATTTGATACTTAATAGGGAGATATATAATTTTATAAGGCTGGAGAGAGTGTATTCCTTCAAAAACAGGACAAAATTAATATATAATACAGGGTTAGACTGATCTGGGGCACGTGAGGGGTGAAACATGTATAAAGGCATAATATTACTGGTCACAAAGTCAGCAGTGCTAATGGTGGGTTCACTGTCCCCTTTATCTCTCCAATAAATCCAGATCTGTCACTCCTAAATGCACTTGTATGTGATGCATCCACACTTAGCCACCTAACTGACATAAAGATTTAAGACTGAACCTTGGAAAATGCAATTAACAATCACAAGGTTACCTTCTGCAGAGAGAAATAAAAAAGATCAGTTACCTGTCTTAAGATAAAGGCCACAACATCTGTTGATTCCCAGTAGCTGGCATGAAAGAGATGTGGCAGGGCCACCGTTGGAAAGGCTGTGAGCACATCTGGACAATACAAGGCATAATCTATTCGTTTTGTTCCCCACCACTTTGCAGTAACTACAAAAAATGAAACAAAATAGCATAACATTTCTGTATCAATAAATTTCTTGTTGTCTTTTAACTAGATAATGGAATTAGGCCTTCTGCTTTCTTAAGCTTGACATTTTAAGTCTATTAAAGGTATCTATCATCCAGAAAAGTACAGTTTTTACTGACTGCATCCTCACTTAACTGCCTGACACCTAAAGAGTTTTTATGGCTCCAAGTTTTGGGAAACAGAAATCACCTCAGCATGATCTCCACTGCTTTCTGGTCCATGGAAAATGTACAGTGAAAGATTATTACTTTTATGATCATGTTATAGGGTAAGAATTGCAAATGCCTCTCGAACAGTGAAGCAAATATTGAGAGAGACAGAGAGAGAGAGATACATACATATTTATATATATATACACACACATATGACTATAGTCCATAGCAGGACAATATAATGATTTATAGCACTTCTAATTTTGAGTAACAAATCTTATCTACCTATACTGCTTCATGCCTGGAATATGATCATAAAACCATGTTCCTATGAAACTCCTGTGGATATTTATGAGTAACACCGTAATATAAAACTGTGACTTCTTTTCTGTTACTTTATCTAATTACAAAAGAAAAGAAAGATAACTTGTGTTACGTAAAATTACAGAAACTTGGCCTATTCTCATTCTCCCCAAATTCTAAGCAGATTTCTTTTAATAACCAACTTTTTCATAGAAACAATGTGAAGGTAAAGGCTTCACATGGCACCAAGCAGTAGCACATGGCACCAAGCTTTACTCACTGCTGGTGAGGCATGCTGATGGCAAGCTTTCACTTGACCCGGAGTTTTCACTGTTTGTGCTGGCCAAGCTCAACTTTCTTGTTTTCCCTTGCAGTTGATCAGACATATTTGGAGATTCAGGACTCTCTTGAGAGAAAGGTATGTTCAAAGAGCTATTCTCAAGGAACAGACCACTGTGATTGTGGAGAGCATCACCTGCAGGTTACAAAAATGAAAATAATAATTAAAAAAAAAAAAGGATGCATACCATGGTTTTGAAACTAGTGTTTGTGTGTATATCTTATTTCTTTGTTTATTCATTTATTTTTACATGCAGGGCTAATGAGCATTTTCCTGAATAATATCACATTTAATGCCCATGGGTGAAACTTCCTCCTTCAGAGTGAAAATAGCGAGACACAGCATGAATGTATGGAGAAAGCACACACCCTACTGCCATGAACATGCAATGGCAGCTGGGTGCTTTTGGCCAGAATCTTCCAAACTGGGTAGTGATGCTGGGATGCTATTTTACTTCACACTCGACCCTACTCATTTTAAAGTCATTTTCTGAGAAGAACTACATAGCCCTGGGAGTCTGTGATACTTCTCTGGTCCTCTTTCTGACATGAACAAAATGTCCTTTTTTGCATAACGTAACAAGTCAAAGATGTTTCATGCCTAGATGATGTTACCTTATTTTCTATTAAATCAAAAAAGCACAATTCCTTCTACTAGCACCTTGCTCATCCATCCCTTCCACTTTCTTCCCCAGAAATCAATCTATTTCTGTTGTTTTTTTTTTTTTTTTTTTCCTGGATTCAAATCTTTATTACCAACATAACTACTGCTTAGTAACCCACCTAAGAGAAGTGCAATCAAGACTGCTCAGTGGTCTGATTTGTCCTAGTAGATATCTACAACAAACCAACCACAAGTGACCAAAAGAAACAACATATGAAGATCTAGGCAAAGGTCAGCTAATTGTAAAAATAAATAGTTTAAAATTATAGTCAAAGACATGGAATTTTCCAAGTGACACTTCAACTAGAACAGTGGTATCAGCTTCAAGCTCCTCTTTAACACAACTAGTATCACAAACCTCATGCATAAGAATAGTTTTTTCTTAGATATCTTCTTTGGTTCCACACTTGCTAAGTATGTCTATGCTATTCGGTCCCAGATGAGGTTTTAGCATGCCGGCACATTGCTATTTCAAATTCTCTTGAGCTGTATAAGGAAAGAACACTTAAGAGAACAACAGGCAATGAGAGCTATGAAAGCAGGCACTATACCTAACTGGTGAGATCTTCCATCTCCTAGTGGGTATCTCTGGTACCGTGGGACACTGAATGGAGGAAGAAGATGGAATTTTTTCTCCAACAATGGTTCAAGTCTGCAGGCAGAGGGGTCAGCAGAGTGAAAGAAGCTGTAAACTTGGCTGCAGGCTGGTCGGACCTGGCACACTTGGATGAGAATGAGACAGAGAAAAAGAGGTCAATACTGCTGCTTTATAATTTTCAAGGAGTCTGTACAGAAACATAGTTAATATGGTCTCCTGCAAACTCCAGATTAGCTCACAGCTGGCCAAATTGAATTGTTTCCTATTTCATATGTAAAGAACACTTCACTGCACAGGAGTTTACAGAGACATCAAAATCTGATATGCAGGCACATAGAAAATGTGAAGAGCAGCAGAAGAGAAACAGAAGGAAGCAAGAAATGAAAAAGAATTTTTAAATCTTGTAAATACATTATTGAGCATTATAGCTGTGATGCTCAGCACTTCAAATATATACCAGCAAAATGGTCTGATGGGCTTGTGTCATCCCAAGGACTTAAACCTAGGGGACAGCAGAACCTTCCCTTATATTATAAAAACTGATTCTAACAAAACAAATAAATAAATACATCTGAATTTTACTTGTCACATTTTCAGGTAGCTTTTTACCTTTCATTTCAGTAGAGAGGGCACTTCAACTAATTTCCAGCTGTCTACATGATAGATTTAAATTTGTCTGTTTATCTCTTAACTGTGTCACAATTATCACTTTAAAATGGGATTCTTCTATCATATGCACCTCTAAAGACTAATTATGCTTCACGTAGGCACTGGTCACCTCAGAATGTGTTTGCAATGCCCATCAGTTGAGCTGCTTTCAAAGCATACTCCTTTGCAGAATACCCGAGGAAGGATGGAAATAAGAGCTAAATTGAAGAAAACAGTTTTAAATACTAGTAATTAACATGAAATTTTCCTTTCAAAGTGCCTGGAGGATAGCAGAGCAGAGACTGGGGAAAGGACTGGCCAGGAAAAAAACAACCTTGGAGTTCTCAACTGTTGTGTCTTCTCATTATTGCCACAGATTTTCTCCCTCACCTGATGAATGAATGCATCATTTCCTATAAAGATGTTGTGCTATCCAAAGCTCATACCATGTGAAGAGACAAAGCATGTGCTGAATAATGCAATGTAATCTTTTAACTGAAAAACTTAAAAAATCCAGATGCTTTAGAAATAAAATTTTAAAAATCCTCTGTGTCTGACCACTAGGCTCTGTTACTAGAAAGGAAGAATGGCTCACAAGCAACACACCCGAAGGCCAAACCTGCCCATGAAGCCAGACATGAACAAGAGGTAATGCTGAACCAAGCACAGATGTTATTTTTGGTATTGTTTTCAAGGACTGATCCCTGGTGAAGTGTGAGCTTCATCACGTATGACATGGACCATATAATTAACAGCAGAACTTAAGACACACTTTTGTAAGTGAGCAGTGACATCCCTGGAGCAATCCTCATCACCTCAGTCCCTACCTACATTAACATTCCCATCTCCTAATGGAGGAAACTTACCTCACTCCCTGACTTTAACTAGGCTCCTTTATTTACCTCCTTTTTGTGTGAGCCTCTTTGTTTACAAAGGTCTTTATGCATCCTGTATTTTAACCTCAAGAAGATCTTACCATCCAAACCAGGCAGAACAGTGCTCCTCATGGCCAGCACCAAACCAAGCGGTGATCCAAAAAGGAAGAAATCAGACACCTCAAATTCAAATCGGCCCAGATTTACTTCTGAGAGACTGGAATCTACAGGAGGAAGGTCTGCACCATCTTTCAACACACTTGAGTGGATGCTGAACAAAGAAAATATTGAATAAAAAATAAAGAGGGCATTCAGAAAAAAAGAACATTCCCAAAACAGGATGCTTAGAAAGCTCTAGCAATGGCATATAGATCCAAGCAACACACCTTAGAATTAAAGTAAAGTGATATTACTGTATAGCAGCCATGATTCTCAGTGTGGCTATTCAGTAATTTACTGCCTTCAACATACAAGAGTTTCCTGCAATTATTCTACACAATACTTGGTAAAGTTTTGCAAGGACCATGAACATTCCAGTTTACTGTTTTAAATATAACATAGTATTTCTCCAATAAAAGAAACTAAAAGTGAATGACCAAACAAATCTTCATGTTTTCAGTTGCAGACAAGAGAAAAACATTCTTCTCAGAGGAAAAACAATCTACAACACATTGATATCCAGAAAATGCAATGGTTTCAAAATGAATGCAGAATAGTCAACGAATGCAAAGCAAAGGACATTCAGTCAAAGGAATACTATAGAATTACCTTAATCTGCTACTAAGAAAAATGCCATACTTGAAGTAAAGCACAGTAATAAGTCTGCACTATACTCAACTGAAACTGAGTAGAACTGAAACTTCAACACACAGTAAGTCTTCCTTCTCTGCATCACTCACAATGAAATAAAGGAAATAGGAAGACAGATAGAGGAAACAAAAGCCTGAATAGTTCAGGTAAGTAAGAAACCAAATAGCTCAGAGCCAGAAGCAACAATGAGACAAAGGGAATGCTTGTGTTCCCATCCCATATACTTCAAAGGCTTTTTAGGATAAAGGAAAACTAAGTTAACTTCTCCCCCCAGTCCCCTCCTCATTTAAGCCAAATGTTTATGCAGGGCTTTTTTTTTGTTGTTGTTTCAAAGCTGATCTGAATAGCTTATAGACCAATGGAAGCAACTAAAGCAGTTATCTCACAAGAGAATAATAGAAGTCCTGAAAGTGAAGCCCGAAGGATCGTTAGAAATAAATAGGCAAAAGAAATTTACAATTATAAGGTATTCATCCATCTTGTTTTGAGTGGGCTGTACTGAAGAAATAGAACGGTATGGATTAATTTTTGCATGTTAAAAACCCTCACAACTGAATAAAGATTAAATAAAAAACTCCAGATATGAGTATGTTCATACCAGACCCACTAAATCCAGAGCTTTCTTTGAAGGAGAGGCAAGAGCTTTAAGCAAACCTCCAGAAACATACCACATTCAATAACAATGCCTCTGTGCTCTGGTGCTAACAGGTTCCTTTCAATGGCAAGCCCATTTCTTTTACTCATTCACTGGCCACTGGTTACCTGGACAGGAGGGCATGATGCTGGGTTATGGTATCGCAGTCGTAAGTGGATGAGTCACTCTGTTTCCGAGGCAGTGATGGCCTTTGCTTCTCCTCCTCCATGATTCCCAAGATGTCAATATTGCTTTTGCTCAGGTGTCTGCTGTCACCCAGACCGGAGTCCTCTGCTAAGAGTGGATTATCCTTCAAAAAATGAACAGAGCAAAGGGAAGATTTAGACAGATAACAAAATATAAAAGAGCTTATATGAAATGCCTGCATTTATACATATGATCTCACTTAATCCAACAAAGGGTGGAAAGGATTAAAAATTTCTCTTTGCAGTAGAAAGACAGAGATGAAGACTAAATTTCCCTTTAAGATAATAGCATAAAAGCTGGAAGAAGAATCAGGAATTTGAGGGTAGAGCAGTCACAAGGGATGGAAAGAAATAGTAACACAAAAGCTTTAGCCCTCATGACTTCATTATTCTTAGAGAATGATAAATATCATAAGGTAATCAGAAGGGGTCTTGCCCGAGTGCACAAAATGCACATTACAACCTTAATGAGCTTGCTCATCATGTCCCATGGATATGGGATCTGATTTTTTGAAAATGTTAGCTTCCGCAGGATGTAAGAGGAGACCAGTGGTACCATATCCTTAAGATTATTTATTTATTGTTAATTATTAAATTCTTTTTAATTTCCTCCAGCACTTCTGCAGTTTGCACCAGCATCCTCCCTGATGCTGAAGATGCTGCTTTTTGAAATAAATGCCATTGGACTAAACCTCTCACCTCATTCGTGCAGGAGATCTCTGTGCATGAGGAATGCAAGATCTGATTTTTTATAATGAGAGTACATAAAGCCTGGGGAATGAGAGGCTGGAGAGCAGCCTCACAGAAAGGCACCCTGGAAGTTGTAGTCAATACCAAGTTGAATATGAATCAACAGTGTGCCCTGTTGAAAGGGAAAGGGAAAGGGAAAGGGAAAGGGAAAGGGAAAAGGGAAAAGGGAAAAGGGAAAGGGAAGAGGAAAGGGAAGGGAAAGGGAAAGGGAAAGGGAAAGGGAAAGGGAAAGGGAAAGGGAAAGGGAAAGGGAAAGGGAAAGGGAAAGGGAAAGGGAAAGGGAAAGGGAAAGGGAAAGGGAAAGGGAAAGACAGGACCCTACTTTAAAGGCTAACAGGTAAAGCCTTCACTACTGATTTCTGTATATCATAAAACTAAAGCTGACAATTTTTAACAGCAAATTTTTGATACACAGGCAGAATCCCATTCTATCATGGCAATTTACCAAATCCTTAAATTTCCTCTCGTTTATATGAAGATGATTTCCTCCATGGAATGCATCTATAGGGTTTCAGCTGTGTGAATTTTTTTCTCTTCACCTGGATGCTGCTGATGCTTCCTCTCCTGCTACTGTTCCGACTCTCGTAAGCTGTATTAGAATTATAGCAGATGGCATCAAAGCCCAAAATTCCTCCAATGCAGTCACCTATAAGACACACCTGAAAAAAAGATTTTTTTTGGAGATATAGCAAGTGTTTTCAAAAGAGGCAAAAAGCATTACAGTACTACACAGGAGTTTCTGTCTTACTTCATCCCCTTGTTACAGGTTTTTACACTTCGGTTTATATTGCAGCTACTTTTTTCTACTTTCTTTTATCACCAGAAATATGCCCTATGCAAAGAATATCTGTCCCAGGGACTATTTTGATGAGTGGGAGTACTGCCAAATGGATTAGAACAGTAACTGTAGATTAGAACAGGAACAGTAACTGACAGTTACTGTCAGTTGAAAGAAACCTGTAGGCAACTTCACTGGTGTCCAGGTCACACCAGAAAAATCAGATTATTTCCCCAGAATTGGACTTGAAATCTGTAACACTGCTAGCAACTGAGTATTTGTCTTCTATCTTTCTTCTATTGCTTTATTACTACAGTGATGGAGGCACAGAAGAAATAATAGTTCAGTATTTGATTTCTTAGGATCTCAAAGGTGTCCCAATTTTTCCACCAGCTATGTCTGAAGAACTCATTGACACAGACGATCATTTGCCTCAGGCTGGCATGCTTGTTCACTACGTACCTTGCTTACCGTACCATAGCAAAGGAAGAGGTTAGGAGCCAAAATGCTTGTGGGAGAATGTGTATAATCTTCCACCAGCCGAGTAAATCCACGTGAGATAGTGCACAGGATTCTAAAAGTGCCTGTCTTGTGCTGGACATGGATAAGGCATTTTGTGTAGGTGATCCCATGCCAACAATCATTCATCATATTTCTAGTGTCCCACACTCATAACTCAAACACTTCCCAACATAATGGCTTAAAACCAAACAGCCTTGCTCTGAAGAAATTTTACTTTGGTGTAGAAAATAGTCCTACCTGTCCATTAAAACCAGCCCCATCAGTAGATTTGAGAAACTCATTATAAACTTGATTGGCTCTACTGATCACCATAGCAACTGCATCCTGGTACTGAGGAGATGAAACAGCCAGCAAAGGCAAGGCAGCCAGTGGGATGTGGTCTTCACTGCTGCTGAGACAGCTCTCATCATAGCTGTAAGGATTTAGGCTAGAAAAGGACATGTTATCAGGAAAACTGTAAGAGGCAGCGCACAGCATTAGAGAATGAGCAATTACTAACAGAAGTGGGTTGGGCTACTGCAGTTCACAATGAGCAAACACATGAAGGATCATTTTCTCAGAGAATTCAACTCCTTAAAAAGCCAAAGCATTACTGCTTTAGGTGAATAGAATCAAACTAGAAGGCATTTCTGTAGTTAAACACACTTGCTGCAATTGTTCTGCATACAACTAGACATAATTTTGAATGGCAAGACATGATTACATTTCAGCTTTTGTTTCCCCCCCATATAATAACTCACTACACCAGAGAGCAGAATCCAACCATCACAATGGAATAGTCTGCTAGAACACAAGTGTGATGGGTGTATTGTTCAAAAAGATATTAAGACATTTTTCCTAGTGTCCAATCTTCTCAAAAAGATGAAACAAAGCTGCACACATTCTGAAGTCACAGTAAATGTTTACATAGTAACATCTGGCAAAAAGGAGATTACTTAATTGAAAATGCAACCTTAAATTTGACAGAATGTCAGCTTTACTTTAGTGGATGTGCACCCTGAAAGTTTCTCAGTAAGTTTGTCAATCATGTCTTGACTGATTTTTACTGATCAGCAGAGAAACAACTCACAGAGAGCTAAAGATGGAAGGCACATCAGTGTGTGCCAGATTCTCTTAGATTAAGTTGGCTGTCCTTTATGGATTAAAGAAAAGTCAGAAGTATTTTAGATAATGCAGCACATCTAAAGTCCATCCAAAAGCCACAGACAAAGAACTTGAGCAGTATTTTGTATTCCTTTTTATTGGGAACTTGGTGGACTATCACAGTATTTAAAAGCAAGCTGCCTGAAATGGAATTAGTCTATATCTTTGCTAAAACTCATCTCCTTGAGACTATTACCAGGGTAATAGAGTAAGAATAGAAAATTTTCTGGTCTGTGTTCTTCTTCTGAGCCTTACTGGACATTTTCACATTTGCCTCTGGCTGAAGAACTCCAGTGATTTGGTATTTTTCATCCAAAGTAGTAAAACAGTTTCTAGGTCCTGGAGCTCATCTGGTCTGCCAAGATGTGTCAATTTACCAATTAACACAGGTTCATTTTGCCAGCTGATTAGATCATCCAAATGCACAGCAGATACACCCTTATGAACACTAACTCAAAAATTAAAACTGAACCTTCAAAACCTACATAAAAAGCCTGATTTACTAATAAATTGGTAGATTACACCTCGGAAAGGGAAAGGAAGAAATCCAGGAGAAAAAAATCCAACATATTAAATGAATGATTGAAATAGAAAAAAAATCTGCATATGTTATTGCAATAAAAATAAGACGCAAACAATATTCACAAAAGAACTATACAAACCGACGCCAATGGAAAAATAAATAGTTGGCAATTTACTGGGTTTTTATCCCCATAGCTAAAGAAATTGAAATAAAGCAATTATTGTCAAGACAATCAAATACAGTTAAATGGCTTAGAAATGAGGGTTTGGGTTTTTTAATTCCAATGTTTTATTGTAAAGGTTTAGCCACAGTGACCTCCATTGTTATTGCCAACACAACACAAAGGAAAGAAACAATCATACCACCGAAAGAATGTATGAAAGAGATGAAGTTGTCTGTCACAGGGGACAAGCTAAGTATTAGTGCTGTAGTTCAGACAAACAGGCAAAATATCAGTATTAGTGCTGAAGCTGAAAAGAGCACAAATCTTGTTATCTTGAAAACCATCAAGTTGTAAGCATCAAACACTTGCACAAAGGCTGGAGATGGAGACAGAAATCAGACAGAAGCAGCTGAAATCACTAAGCACCTGAGAGATAAAGTCACCAGTGCTAGAGCCTAACACCTCCCTGACGAAAGGCAGCAAATGACTCAGCTACAAGACAGGTCTGATCTTTGGGTAAGAGCACACCTGGCTCTCGGGGAAGAAGGGATTAGTGGCAGAGTGTCATTTCCAGCAGAAAAAACTGAGACCGCATCACAGAGAGGGGGCTGAGGAGAAAGCAGAGGGGAAAGTCACCCATATGATAACACTTGTTTAGATAACTGCCATGTAATATTTTTTTACAGATATGGTTCGGTTATCTGCACTCAAAAAACTCCCCAGCACAGACTTGCTGCCCCGAGCCCCTCATGGCCCCCATAGGCTTTACCATGGAGGCACTGCTCTGCTGTGGGCCCAAGAAAGAGGTGTGTGGGCATGTCCTCAGCACCTGGGGCATCATGATGTTGGTGAGGGGCTGGCAGGAGGCACTTGGGGGGACACTAGCAGTGGGCTGGAAGTGACCCAGAAGGGTCATTGAGTATGACTCTCAAATGAATGGCCCATTCAAGGACTGAACCCACCACCTTGGAGTTAGTAGCACCATGCTCTGAGCAACTGAGATCATCTCAGGGCCACCTTAACATGCACTATTGCCTGCATCTTCAGAAAATGGAGACTACATTCAAAGCTAGTAAGAAATCTTGTACCACTGCTTAATCAGTTATCTGGCTCATCCTCAATTAAACACTACAGTAATTAAAACCATCCTTCCTCGACCACAGTTTGCTAAATGAATGTTTATCACACCTTCATGTTCCACAGCTGAATTCTGGAGCTCTGGCTATGAAAGCTGCTGGCATGAAGTTACAGCAATGTGAGAGTTGGAACTGTCTCTTCTTTTGTCAGCCCTGAACAGGTACGTGTCAAGCAGCACCACACAAGAACGTATCACTGCAATACTAATCTTATATCAGTGCTCAGAATTATTCTATAGAACATTCAAACATCCCATTTGGCATTTTTCCATCTGGGTGAATACTGCATGCTGCAAGAAGAGGAAATAAAGAAACAGAGAAAGAAAGTTGAAGTTGTGCTCACTTGGGCCGCCAGCACACATTCTTTCTCTATTCTACCAGCTCTTCTTCCAGATAGCCGAGACTTGTAGGCACTGAGTTCTTTGAGTGCATATAACTCAAGGGGTAAAGAGGAAAAAAACCCAGTTGACCAATAGCCCAAATGGGCAAAGATGACTGTCCTCTTGCTTTACAGAGCAGCACCGTGGATATATACACACTTCTTTCCTGGTTTGTTTCCACGTTGCAAATGAGGTTGTTTCTGTGATGCAAAGAGTAAGGCACAACTTCCACCAGTTTGGTTTGCACCCTGCCACCTCCTCTTCTGATGTGCCTGTCACAGGTTTAAGTCCAGCTAGTATTTCAGAACTTTAATGTACTTCCCATCTCTCCTCTCTAATTGTCATCTGGACAGCAGGCATCACCATTGCTTCATCTTACTGCTCAGAACATGATTGTAGATTTCCTCAACTCTTCTGCAAGGTTTTCTGCTCTACATGAGCTTCAAATGTAACCCTGGGCACTATACTGAAATAAAAAATACTCTAAAAGCAACTATCACTTAGGGAAGCCCCGGACAAAACCAAGAGAAGTGTCTCTTTGCTTAGAAAAACAGAAATCAAGAAAATCTGATTCTTTCCTCCCCTCACCAGAGTTCAGCAGTTAATCCTGACTTGCACTTATAGAGAAATTGATGCAGGACTATATGTTTCTTTCATCTTTCTCTATTGTGCCATTTAAAATATTTATATCATGGAAAGTAATGTTACTTGAAAATCTTCTCTCATTCAATGAGTGAATTTCATGACAGAAAAAACAGCTGAGGAAGAGCCACTTCTGAAGTGGATACGTCCAATAAAAATGTATTTTTAAACAAATTAATCCACTTAGAAAAGGATGAAAGATCATTGCAAGTCTTCCAGTCAGCAGAAGATTAAGAAAGAATCACAAAATTTCAATATGAAATACATAGGTCACAGAAAACCATTCAGAACCACAATGCATTACCAAACACCTGTAAATGCAAATCAACTTACCTGGAAACAAGAGAGAAAGCTGCTGAACAAATTGCTGGGCAGGGAACAAGTCTCATTAAAATGTGGCCCAAAGAGGCGGGGAAATGGGCTCGGGTCACTTTCTCAAACACAGAACTGAAGGTGTTGATATCTGCCAGCTTGCTGCTGTGGTCTCCACTTCCAGTGTCTAATATGTTCCCTCCATGTAGGATCAAAATTAGCACATGAGTTTTGCAGTTCTGGTGTTGAACTCCTTCCTGTGAGAAAAACACAAAATAGGAAAGGAGGAGGCATTTTTACGGACTTTGTTAGTTTACTTGGTGTCAACATTAGCAGTGATCTTCTTTTTTCTGCCACCCCCACCCTAATAATTTTTTGATATTTGCTTTCACTGGAGTGGGTGGGTGTGTGTGTGTGCACATGTGCATCCTGTGTTCTGTTTAATTCAAGTATGTCTGAATCATATAGAGCCCACTATACTCTGACAGAAACCCTGTGCAGCACAGATATAGGTTTCATATCAATGGAGATTAAGACAGCTTTGTGTACATCAGAAGTTACTTTAAATACTCTGAGACTGGAGAAAAATTCCAAACTCCACAGGCAGCATAAGCAATTCTCTGTCTAGGTATCCTAGTGATTGTTTAATTTACTGGCAAGGTTCTCATTCAAATCATCACAAGTCCAAAAAAGACAAAATCCTCTGCCAATGAAAACATTCAGTAAAAACAGATGATACAGTTATCTCAGACTTTTGAGACTGGTAGCTTCTTATAAAAATGAAAGACACTTACTGAAAAAGTTTAAAAAATGCATCATTGTTGATATCCATAAAACTTACAAATTTATGAACATGTGAATAGGTGCATACACAAACAATAACCAGCATGTTTTGTAGAATAACCAAGATGTTTCCTACCTGAAACCAGAAAAGCATTTTGAATTTCACCTTTTTTTTTTTTTCCTCTTTACCCCTTGACACTCATGTGCACTCCAAGAACTCAGTAATAGATTAAAAGATTAGATTTTTTTGTTCTTAAACCTCGACTGCTATTTTTCTTCTTCACTTTGGATGACAGGATTCCTTAAGATTTCTAGTTCCTGACCAAATATGAACACACTGCAAAAACAACAGTAATGTTTTTTGTCTTAGGATCATTAAATGCTAGATTGGGTGATTTACTCAGAATCAGACAATGTTCTGAACAGTTTATTCTTAAGTTCTGGAATGAAGGGAAATGGGTAACTTTAGCGCTTGTATTATGGTGACAGAGAAATTATTGAAAATGAAAGAATTATAGGTTATTCCTGTTCAGCCTTGTTCCTATCTCTGCTCAGCCCGTGAATTTTACTGTCCAGTAGAAGTATTCATTCTGAAGGCATTTTGCTGACCTGACTTGTATCTACTTAAATACAGGAGAATCATGCGAGCATTTTTCAGGTTCCACTTTTCCATGCACTGATTTACAATTTCCTTCACCATAAGGTTTTATTCCAGTTTTCAAAAGAGAAATTTAATTCCCTTTAAAAGCTAAATGTAGTTCCTTCCACGGACAATGTCTGCTTGTAAATAAGCAGCACTGCTGAGGAGTTGGTGGAACTCAAAGCTTCAAAAAGAATAAAATCATGTGGTCAATATTGCTGAATTTGCTGGTATAAGAAGTCTCTCAGCTGAATTTAACTGGTATCTTTCACAGGAAGACTCAAAGGGAATAAAATTAATTTGTCTCTCAGCAGTAGCTCAGCCATGACTTATACAAGGTGCTCAAGGACTAATTGACTGGAGTCAATCAATGACTGTCATCATTTTAAGGAGGCTGTAGGACTGAATTCTTAAAAAATGGTAGACATATCCATTACCTGTCCTATGTGTGGACAGAGGACCTTAATCAGTTTTCTGGAAGGACCACATGTTGAGATTCTTTCCTGCTTCTAAAAAAAGGCAATTCTGTTATTATCAAATTCATGACTGCTGCTGAATCTGCTTCACAAAACCTGCATTTCCAGTCAAGCACTAAGCAGACATAACAATTTCTCTTCAGAAAACTGAGTCCTATTTCCTCCCGAGTAAGCAATGTCTAAAAATCTTGTGATGATTTTCAGTGATTGCACGTGCACCTACTAAACAAGGGAAAAACACACTAAGACGTCAGATGAGTTTACAGTTACATAACACAATATGAGAGTATTTCCACATGTTTATTCCTTGAAAATCAGCACAACTTGTTTTATGAAACAATCTCACCTCATTGTCCTCATGTATTTCAATACTGCCTTGTGCAGGGAACCTTTGTTTTCTTACAGAGGTTCTATATAATTCACCTAAAAGGAAAAGAGACATATTAGTCATATAAATACTTGTCTGTTACATCTTTTACAGACATCTGTGGAAGTAAGTCACATTCCTGATTTCAAGACAGAAAGTTCTCTTCACAGGAAATCCTGCAGACAAACAGAACAATACACATTCACCAGTAATTCAGAGAGACACTAAGCAAGTTCTGCATCTCTAGCTTAGCCTGAAGTAACTTGTTGCCCTGTCTCTTCATGTAGAGTACATGACATCTCAAGATCACAAGAAGAAAGCCAGGTGAAAGGAAAAACACTGAGTGATTCAACACCCCAAAGCAGGCATGAAAGGCATGGGTTTGATACATGACCCAAAAAATAAGCTTGTACCCTGAATCTAGGAGAAGACAATTTGTATGACCATTCCTAAACTTCCGAGATCATGAGGTAAAGTTCAAACCCATACTAAGAATCAAGACAGGTCCTCTTTTTTTTTTTTATTACACAAACCATTTCAAATATCCCTAATATTTTGCCATGCTAATTAGGGAGAGATTTAGAGGAGAAAAAAAAAAAAAAAGCCAAGAGAACTTGTGTTGGCTACAAAGCACAAAGTGGTAATAGTCCCAAAAGAAAGCTGCTATTTCCATTATTACACTTTCATGAGAAATGATGCTGTTTCTTGCCATCTGCTTCACTATTGCTAGCCCTTCATAATGACAAATCCGTCATAAGAAATATGTTCACATGAAGGCTGTGACATATGCTTTCTATTAACAAATGAAAAAGAATACTGTAAATATACTGCAGATGCAGTTTTGCAGACTGCACTGTTTATAGGAAAATAATGGCATGCATCACTGAGTCTAATCCTGCTCTGAAAATCACAGGATGAGATAGTTCCTGTGTTGAGTTCCACAGTTTCTTCATTGAATGAGTCTTACACATACACACGCCACCAGATCTCATAAATGACTAATACAGAGCACAGGACAAAAAGAAACACACAGGATTTTGCTGCAGATCTCAACTCAAAATGCTCCATTTCACTGTGAACTCCAGGAAGGTAAAGGACAATGTCCCCAGAGAGAACTGTGATGAAAGGAAACACCCTTGTTAACACCACAGACTTCTATAAGTCAATTCCGGCTCTTTAGAAAGCAATGCAAAAGCATAGAAAGATGAAAAGCAGAGTCATGTGTAAATACACTCATGAAGCTGGGCACCAGCAGCAAAGGAACCCTAGCTTGGCACTACTTTTCATTCTTACAGCACTCAGAAATTTTAACAGCGATACTTTTTGCATCTCCCTAAGCAGAGACAGGAGAAGGAAGTCCAGAGCACAAAGTACTGAAGGCTCCTACACTCCAAATTGGGTTGTATTGTACTGTCCTGTGTGAGATATTGTACAGACAGCAGCTTCATCCTCCAGTACTCTACCTCCACCACTCCAGCCAACGCCAGAAGGCACTAATGCAGGCACTTTGCCGGTACAATATAATAATCCATAAAATAAATGATTAAATTGAAATAATAAACTGAAAATAATTAAATCTAAAAGAAAATTTTAAAGAATCATGATCCCTCCACATGCATTTCTCTTCTCAGTGTAACATACCACAAGGCCTGAGCTAGTTAGCAAGTGCTATTACTGTCTCTAGTTGTTGAATACTTTTGGTACAAATGAAAATGAGAACAACTTCAACTCACGTTGTTTTTCCTGTAGAAAGCCAGATGAGCAAAATGCAGACTCTTCACCTGCAAAAGAAAGAAACCACAATGTAAACTAAAATTTCTTTCCATGAACATCAAGTTCTTTACTTTTTCTCCTGTGTTGCTGTAAATATTTTGCAACTGACTATTACTAGGCTGATTTCCAAAACCCTCGATTAGCTTCCATGTGAATAGATCAGCACATGACACACTTGACAACTGCTGGAATCTCTTAATCAAAATGGTTATGCTAGAAGCTAGATTTTACTCTTCATTTCAAGAAAGGTATCATAAGCAATGAAACTTATAGGTAGGTAGGGAGGAATCTAGTTGATAGAGGAATGTAGGTAGGAATCCATTTGATAACCTGTAGCATTAGCCACTGAATCTCTTAATAACTAAAAATTGGCATAACTTACCTAGCAATACAAACCAGATTCTTATTACAAATATTTAATTAGCAGCTGTTGAAAGAATATTTCTGTCCTTCCATTCCCTCCCACAGGCCACCCATCCAAGGAAAGTTGCAAGTACTCAGATCTAAATACAAAAACCTAATGTACAGAGACATAAGGATATGGGGAAAAGGCCTTCTTATAGATACAGTGCCCCTACAGCACTCTGGCCAGTACTACCATGGAGGGCAAACACCTTTGCCATCATATGAACATGACAAAACCCAAAGGTATCAGCTTACCTCTGCCTCCATCTACCCTCAAAGCTGGGATGAGAATACAATTCTTTCTCCAAGTTCTTTCTTCGGAGGCCCAGGCAACATTTACTTTTTTTCCCACACCTACCTACCTACTGTACGTGAGTACATTCACACATGTGACAGACACAAAACGCTGCTCCTGGGGCACAACCTGGCTCAACAACAGAGGCAACATCCTGTGGCATGTGTTTGGTATCAAAGAACAGAATAGCACATGACAAGGACCAGGGAAGGTGGTGGACCTCTGTGATATGTGAACAAAACTGCACTGCTGCTGTTGCCTGCCCACTGATTTTCTTGTGTTCAATGAAAGCTTCTGCCTAGTGCCTAAGAAGACTCTAGAACTTGTAGGCACTGTCTCTCAATCTCATGAAATAAAAATGCTGTTATGCTAAATCCAATTAGAGTTAATACATAAAGAATAATACTAATATTTAACTCCACTGATGGATGCAGCAGTACGAAGTAAGAGCTCTGCAACTATTCTCTATTTTTTCGGTGCTCCAACTATCACAGTATTAATTTGGTTTTGAAGGAAATAGAAAGAACAGAAAAAATGACAGGCTTTTCATATACAGCAAAAAAATCTCCTTTAGTCCATTCTTTGTGCAAGCTGTACTTGCAGTACACTGCCATACCTTACCTTTGAGGAATGAAAATCATATTTCCAAATTTTACATACAATCTCTTTCATGTACAGTTCCTTGCCAGGACAATTTACAGACTATTGTTCTGCCAAAAGGGTTAGGTCACAACTGCTACCTGCTTTCAGCTTATTAGGGAAGAAATATTAACTGCAAGAGCTCATAAAGAGAGTCATTGCTGAGACAAAGCAGCTGTCAATCACTCCCTTGGGAACAATGTGTGAAGCTCACAGGAATGTGAGAGCTAAAGGCAAAAACCAGACTCTCATGCCAAAGGCACAGACCAGCCTTCTGAAGTGCTTGTATACATAATTCCACAAATGACAACATGTAAAACAATGGGTTTCATGAAGACAGTTCCTTCTCATGGAAGAAATGCGTGGCTTTGAGTGGCTGTGCAGATAGAAACTCTCCATCACAAAAGAACAACTCTTGATAGAAACTGAAGAGACACGTCCACTACAAAACGAAAATTAATTTTTATTTGGTAGGTTTAAGAAACAGGCAATTACTTTTTTTATTTTTCATCACACAGTATATTTAACATATTCTGAACAAAATGCCACTTCTCTGACCCAGGACTGAAGGACGATCTGCAATTACTCTTATTTGCATGCTACTAAAAAAATAAAGTAAGAAAATATCAGGAAGGTGTTTTTTGGGCAGTGTTGAAATCAGAATAGAAGCCACCTTATTTTTCTACAAAAGATTGGTAACATCAGTAGAAATAACCATATTTACTCTTCAGAGAAAGCAGCCGCAGGTAAAAATAAGATTCACAAAGTTACATTTAGTGTCATGCTGTGGTACATTACACAAACATTAGATTTGTGGACTGTAGCCATTACACATCCATTTAGCTGTGCTCCTGAGATATCAGAGGGCATTTTGTACAATTCTTGACTCTTGTTTTGCTCTCGCCTGGGATTACATCAATAATGGATTCAGCATTAGAGGACAGCACAGCAGAACAGAGTAATGTGCCTCAGCACAAAGGAGATACCAGGGGAATCATTCTCTTCTTTCTTCCCTCACGCATCCAATCTTGAAATACTGGCCAAAAAAGGTGCCAGCAAGCATTATGGTATACACGACTTTCTGCATTCTAATAATTTGAATTTGTGTAACAACATAACCATACCACTGGAACAAACAACATTGATGCTCCTCTTTGGAACATGACTTTCACTTCAGCAAGAATCCCGTGAAAATTAACTTCTGAAGAGAAATATTTGTTTTGTTAAGTATCTTCTTAAATGCTGTAGCAAATGTAACACTAGTGTAAGCATAGATATGTCAAACTTGGGAAAACAGAGGGACAGGAAAGGAGGCAATATACCTACAGATGGTATGATCCTCTCCACGGGAATCGCAGCCAGGGAACTCTAGGACCAATGAAAATTATGCAAGAACACATGCTGATTTCACCATGTGGACCGGATCTTATACAGATAAAAAAATGAAAAGGGAGAGACTGCAAGGGAAACAATGCTCTCTGCAGCAGAACTCAGGTCTCAGCTAAAAAATATCTTAGCAGGTAGATTAAGCTACCTCCATTTTGCATGCATGTTCTTAGCTGTATTCTAGAACATAAATCACAAAATTAAATGACCAGAGTTGCATAACACCAATAAACTGCCCTACTATAAACTGCCAACAGATTTGCAGAAATCCAATCCACTCCTTCTCTCTAAAACCTGCAGCTAGAAGGAAAATCTGTTCTTTATATGAGCAATCTGATGTGTTTTGGAATCCTGGTGACTACTGTAGTTTCCATCCTTCCCTTCTACTGTTCATTAAGCCAAATTTTCTGTTTGCCACTCTTCACATTAATAGGCAGCAGCAGATGCTATTGCAATAAATTTAATAGCAGCATAAACACTACAGTCAGCTATGTAAAAACACACTTAATTAATTATATGACTCCAGGAGGGCATACGAGGAGGGGTAGATCACATGTTGCTGGAAGGAAGGAAGGAAGAGAGCAGTTTGTTTACACAGAACATTCACTGTGGACAAAATTAGGCAAGGCAGCCCTCAGATGCGAGAGACAGAGGAAAAAACACTAGCACAAGGTAAAAATCATTATAGCAGTCATGAGGGTGTAGAGATTTTTCTCTTATATTGAGTGTTTGACTGTTGTATAGATGTTGGAGAACCTCTGAGATGCACCGCAGGTATAACAATGGGGACTGAATGAAAAATGAGACCAGATGAACTTACTAAAGACACTACAGTCTGCACCAGTCTTGCACAGAAACATGGGTCTCCTGTGGGAGTTTAATGGATCCAACTCAACAGAGCTCATAGTTTCAGACACTATGGGTTAGTACCCACATCACAACAAGTCGCTTAATAAAATGTCTAAACCATGCAACACAAAAATTAACCTTTCCCATTAAAGTGGGCAATCTTAATTCACACCCAATTTAGTATATTTTAAATATTTTCTTTTTATTGCCTTGACCTAGTAATTAACTTTTTTTAAACATGAGAATTGCAAAATTCAACAAAACAAGACCAACATAGAATTATGCTGATTTATTTTATACATAGGAAAGAATCAAGTGAGAAATAAATATATAAATTTCCCATTATTATACAGGGAAATTATAAAAACATAAAAATTATACAAGGAAGAAGAACAAGAAAAAAGAGAAAAAAATCCAATCTTGCCTGAAAAAATGACCTTAAAGATCAAATTAATGACTGCATTTCTGTCGTACTTTGCAGTTAACCCAGGGCTGATTGCTAGCACCTTAGCATCACTCCTTGACAAAACTGCATTTAACCATTGCACAGGAAGCTGCAGGCTGTACTTTGCTCCTAACCAAGCACCATATGTACACGTTTAAACACTGTACAGCTTTTATCATTGACTTAAACTGGGATTAATTTTATTTCACAAGAAAACAATAGATGGTTTTCAGAAAGACTACAAAGTTTTTCTCCTTCTGCAAAGACATCAACCTGAAAAATGATGTAGCTAAAGTTTCCTCTTACACATAAGATTTGCACCTATTGTCCAGCAACCCATCTGAATATTTCATGAAGAAAAATCTCCTGAAGTTGATTAATTACTTCTCTCTCAGAGTAATGCTTCTCCGTAACAGCAGACTAGTTATACTCTTAATTTGATGGAAAGACAAAGCAGTACTGTTCCACAGCCAACTTAAAAACTGTTTATGTCCTATTAAGTAATAAAATAACAATTACTTTCTCATTCACTTTCCTATCTCTACCTTCCTGTACAGGGCAAGATCATGGTAAATTTTTGTAACGGCTGTCAGTGTATCCTACCCTTCTGACTAGTACCATGTTACCTCGTGCATTACTTTGGCCTAACGAGAAATTCAAGAAGTCTGGGACAAGACAAAGGCATTTTCATACATGCTTAATGCTCTGAAATGCTCAGTACAATTTCTGGGAGCTTAGTGCACTCTGAAAAGCTACTCCTTGTGCAGTCTGCTCAAAACAAAACCAAACTTTCTCAAAACAGAACCACTGTCATTGAGTTAAGTCTTTCTAGCAGCCTTGTGCACACAACAGAAAACATAAATTCCAAGCTCCTGCCATATAGTCATATATTTTCATTTTAGGTAGTCCTGTGAGGAGCAGAAAGTTAGACTTGATCCTTATCGGTCCCTTGCAACTTGAGATATTTTGTGATTTTACAAATTAGCTAA